AGGCTCTCTACTTCAAGGACGGAAAGGACGGAGTAGCCTGCTGGGTGCTGGTCTACGTCGACGACCTACTTGCCGCCAGCAGTAGCGCCGCGATGTTGAAGGAGCTGAAGGAGCTGCTGGAAGCCGCCTTCGAGCTGCGTGAGATCTCGCCGGTACAGAAGTACCTCGGGCTGGAGATCGTCCGCGACAGGTCGGCGGGGAAGCTGTGGCTGCACCAGCAGGGCTACGCCGACAAGCTTCGTAGGCGCTTCATCGACGAGGAGCAGACCGGGCGCACCCCAAAGACGCCGGTTTCGGTCGATGCCTACGCCGAGCTCACGTTCGATGACGAGGAGGCACAGGAGCGGCAGGAAGAGGAGTACCGGCAGAAGGTCGGCTCGCTGCAATTCGCGGCGACGACGACAAGGCCGGACATCGCCTTCGCCTGCAGCAAGCTGGGGAGCGGCCTCACGGTGAGGAGCGACCAGCACTGGCGCGAGGTCGACCGCTGCCTCGCCTACCTCGCCAATACGCGCGACACCGCACTGGAGTTCGGCGGTGGACCTGAGTCGCTGGAGCTGGTCGGCTACGTGGACGCCGACGACGCCGGTGACAAGCAGAAGAGGACGAGCACGGGTGGCTACGTGTTCGTCTATGGAGGGGCCGCAGTCTCCTGGTCGAGCCAGCGCATCAAGTGTGCGACGTTGTCGTCGACTGAGTCGGAGTACGTGGCAGCCACCGAAGCCGGCAAAGAAGGACGTCGACTTCGCTTCCTCCTTGCAGAGTTCCGGCAGCTGGATGCCGGGAAGCCGACCGTCCTTCGGGTGGACAACAAGTCGGCCATCACAGTCGTCGAGGGCATGGGGTTGATGGGCAACCTCAAGCACATGGAGCGGCGACAGGCCTGGCTGCAGCACATGGTGAAGCGCGGGAAGTTCTCGCTGAGGTACATCCCGACCACTGAGCAGCCGGCTGACTTCCTGACAAAGGCGCTGCACTATCCGGCCTTCAACCGGTGCTCCGTCGCCATCGGCCAGGTGCGCTTGGCCGACGTGGGCAACGAAGATGACAACGTGCAGCAGTAGGTGCCATGCCCTCTTGCATGGCTGGTGCGGTGGACGACGTGCTGTGTGTTGGGTGCACGTCGACGAGCTATTCTCCGAGGAGTACTGCCGAGTGGTCTTGGGGGGGCCAAGCGTGAACGCGGCAGGGGAGTGTCAACGGGAGTTGTGTGTTGGCCCCGTCCACGCTTGGGCGGAGCCAACTTTGTGGTGGGGTGTACGGAAGGTACAGCCGACTTGCAGCAGTGGGGACGCCGACTTGGACGAGCTGGTCGACGGGGTTGGTCGACTTGCACGGCGCCACTGCAATGCCGCCGACTTGGGAAGCCTGCGGCCGACTTCAACTGGTGGTCGGCAATGTGGCACGTCGACCTGGAAGTCGGCACCGACTTGCAAGGTCACCGACTTGCAAGGTCACCGACTTGCAAGGTCACCGACTTGCAAGGTCACCGACTTGCAAGGTCACCGACTTGCAAGGTCACCGACTTGCAAGGTCACCGACTTGCAATGTCACCGACTTGCAAGTCGGCGCCGACTTGGGAGGACGCCGACTTCGAGAGGTCAGCCTGGAAGTCGGCGCCGACGTAGAAGGGGCGTCGACCTGGTGACGCCGACTTTGGGTAGCCGACTTGGGTGGTCGGCTGACAACTGCACTGGTCGACCAGGAGTGACGTTGACCTGGAGCTGGTCGACCAGAGGAGTGGTCGACCTGGTGAGGTCGACTTGGTGTGGTTGTCGACTTGGGAGGTCGACGAGCACATACAGGAGCAGCTGGTCGACATAGTTGCCCGGTCGACCAGGATACCTGGGTGACGAGGTTCTGCGAAGGAGTGCGACGGTCACCCAGGCGAAGTTGGCGAGACCGACCTCCATGGTGGTATCCCGAGGTCGTCGTGGCGGATCAGAGGCAGTCGCTAGCCCGAGGTTGACCTGGTGTGTGCGCTGTGCAGATGACGAGACTTTGCATGCCAATCATCTGCGCGCACCTGCAAAGCGGGTGCACTGCTGTCCTGCGTGAGCAATGCTGGCACACCGTCAACCTGCAGCGTTGGCAAGCTGTCGACTTTGCACTGCTGGAGCGCGGTCGACCAAGTCGTGCTGGAACGCGGTCGACCATGCTGTGCTGGCAGTCGACCAACCTGAATGCTAGCTCTGATGTAGTCTTGCCATGCCAACTTGATTGTACCATTATTGACAACGTTCTCTAGTGAAACTCTTGCCAAAATTGCCCCATGAACTAGCAAGCAGTGTGAGCACTAGGAAAACGTCTAAGGACCAACGAACGCAGACATCACACGAGCACACGTGCCTAGCCAGTACTCTAAGCTCCCGTTGTAGTAGTTATCTCCGCATGATCATCAGCGCTTCTGCACCCAGCTGGGTCTTGTACCTGTCTTTCCTCACTTGCTCACCTCTTGACCTTGCTTGTACTGTTACATATATATATACCTACTCTTGCTTGTCTAGCCTTATATATATATGTGTACTCCTGCATGTGAACTGGCCTTGTGGCCTTGAACTTGTGCTCGGAATATGTGGTGACTTTGTGATCCACCCTGAGCTTGCTTTGCTTTGCTTTGCTTGACTGGTCTTGTGACCCCTTGTTCTCCCCCACTTTGCCTATGGGGGTGTGTCAGAACATATAGCTTGTGCTTATTTTGCAGGCTATAGTGGGGTAGCCCATAAGGGGTACAACCCAATTAGGGTCAGTACTTGTACTCAGTTTATTGATAGTTCATTCATTCTTGTTTCTACTTTCTCACCTGGAACTTGCAGTCTCCGGGTTGCAACAGGAGCTGTTGAGCAACCCCCTGCGAGATGATCTTCAGGTGACCCTGGCGGAGAGAGAATCGCAACTGGCGGCATACATGAAAGGGGAAAATGACAGGCTGCACCTCTTGGCGGGAGTAAAAGAGGAAACGAAGGGTGAGATTGCGTCGGGAGTCCTCTCGGCGAAAGTGAAGTCAAAAAAGACGCGAACGATGATCACGGTTTTGACCTCGCAAGGGGTGGAGCAGAGGGGCACGAGGGGTATTCTGGAAGCTGCTTCCCGTTTTTACGCGGAGCTTTTTGCGGAAGCTCCTCCGTCGGGCCTACCATGCTGGAAACCGGACCTGCTGAAAACTCTGTGGGATCGGGAAAAAGCGGAGCTTGAGGCTGACTGGACAGAGGAGGAAGTGAAAAAGACGTTAAAGGAAATGGCGTGTGATAAATCCCGAGGAGGTGACGGTTTACCGAAGGGGCTTTTCGAGCGCCACTGGGACCTGCTGAGGAAGGATTTCATGGGCTTCATTAAACGGTTCGAATCCTCAGCGGTTCTTCCGGAGGAAGTGCAGGAGGCGGTGACCATCCTGCTGTCAGAATGTTATCTTATGCTCTAGCCTGTAGTGGGGTGCTCTATAGCGAGTACAACCCTTCTAGGGTTTGCTATTTGTATCCCCATTCTTGCTAGTGCAATCCCTCTTCTTTCTTCTAAACTTTCACATGCTATTAGAGCAGGTCGATCCCCTTGGATCGATCCTGTTGGTGGGTTACCACCTCCTCGCTTCCGCTGCAACTACCTTTCACTACTCTCTGAGCCGCACGCCCCCTGGCGTGCGGCGCGTTTTCTTCCCGCCGTGCGCCCCGAGGCGCGCGGCGGTTTTCTGCCCGCCGTGCGCCCCTAGGCGCGTGGCGGTTCTCTGCCCGCTGTGCGCCCCGAGGCGCGTGGCGGGCTTCTGCCCCGTCGTTCGCCGCGTCGCCCTCTGGAGGCGCCGCGACGGGCGACGGGGACCCGTCGTGGCGCACCGAGAGCACGCGCCTTGTCCCCGTCGCCCTACCTGCGCCCCGGCCCCGGCCCCGCCTGCGGCCCCGGCCCCATCGCCCTACCTGCGCCCCGGCCCCCGCCCCGCCTGCGGCCCCTTTTCCCGTCGCCTGTCGAGGCGACCCTTGAGGGCCGCTACCTGGGGGAGGGGGGCGAGCGCCGCCCCTTCTGCTGCCTGTCTTGGCGCCCTGGGAGGCCGCACGTCGGTTCCCCCCCCCCCCCCCCCCCCCCCCCTCCCCCGTAACCTCCCTACCTGCCATCCCGCCCTGCCTGTGTTAGGGTTTGGGGAGTGGCGAGTAGGGGGTGGCGAGTATGGGGGTGGCACTTCTGCATTCCTCCCTTTGCTCCTCCTCCTCCTTTGTCTCCCACTGCTGCAGCTGTCGCTGAGGGGGGTGGATGTGTGGGAGACTGGGGTTTAGGGTTTAAGGGGGGTGCGTGGGAGTGGAGCTAGCGGTGTAGCAGCGGGTGTGTGCCAGGGGGAGTGGGATAGTTTGGGGAAGCTGTATGGAGGTTGCCGTCGTGTCGCCAGCAGCACCTGTATTCCGGGGACTTCGTCCGGTAGCCCAGTCGTAGCCAGCTGTGCCAGCCGCCCGTGGGTCCGTTGCTCGTCTGCCGCTACTTTAGCCGCGGGGCCTGTTACTCCTGTATTCCGGGGACTTCATCCGGTAGCCGCTGTGCCAGTCTGCCTCCTGTTGCCCGTGTGTCTGCAGCTTCAGCCGTCGCCTCCTATCTCCTCTCCTCTCACTCTCTCTCCTCCTCCTCGCTTGCCTGTTGTGACTACCACTAGCTTTGCTCATTATTGTACCCTTTAAACTATTGCTTCTTGAACTTGTGCTCAGAATGTGTGGTGACATTGTGATCCACCCTGAGCTTGTACTGCTTTGCTTGCTCTGCTGATTACACCCCACTTTGGCTATGGGGTTGTGTCGGAATGTTATCTTATGCTCTAGCCTGTAGTGGGGTGCTCTATAGCGAGTACAACCCTTCTAGGGTTTGCTATTTGTATCCCCATTCTTGCTAGTGCAATCCCTCTTCTTTCTTCTAAACTTTCACACCTGCTACACAAAAAGGGTCCAAGGGAGCAGGTGCAGAATTATCGACCGATTACCCTGCTGTCAAGTTGTTATAAGGTGGTCGCGAAGCTGCTGGCTAACCGCATGAAGCAAGTTTTAGGCACGGTCATCTCGAAAGAGCGGCACGGGTTCCTTCCAGGCAGGCGGCTCTCGGACGCGGTGTCGACAGTTGCGGATATGATAGAAGCTGCCAGCAACAACAGGGAAGACTGGTACCTGCTGATGATCGATTTTCAGAAGGCATTCGACTCTGTGTCGCGGTCGTTCCTGTTTGACACGATGGCGCTGATGGGATTCCCGAGCAAGTTCATTCGGTGGTGCGAGGGGCTGCATGATGGTTCCTTCACTTGTCTGCTGGTGAACGGGTGGCTGGGAGACCGGGTGGATGTCCGCAAGGGGGTTCGGCAGGGGTGTCCTCTAGCCCCCTATCTCTTCTTGTGCGCGGTGGAACCGATCTGCCAGGAGGCAAAGCGCAGGAAATTAGGCATCGGTGATGACCACGGCGACAGATTGGCTTACCTCGGTTACGCGGATGACACGTCGCTTGTGTTGAAAGGAAAGAGGCAGATTGAGAAAGCGGAGGAGCTGCTGGAGGAGTTTGGAGCTCGGTCCGACCTCCGCGTCAACAAGGACAAGTCGGCGCTACTCCCACTGGGGGCTAACCTGAAAGAGACGAGGAACGAGGGATTAGACTTCGTATGGGTGAACCCAAAAGATGCGGAGAGACTTCTAGGTGTCTGGGTCTCCCCTTCTGGAAGCGCAGAAGTTACCTGGGATAAGGCGCTGGCCAGGGCGGCGGAGGAGCTTGTGAAGTGGCAATCGCACCACTTAACCACGACGGCGAGGGTGGCGGTTGTTAATGCCTACGTCTGCCCAATCCTGGCGTTTCAAGGGCAGGTTTATCCTTCGTCAGAGAGCGTGTGGAAGCGGATCATGAAGCTGCTGGTCAATTTCATCTCCGGCAACAAAGCGTCGACGGAGCGGCACTTCACGCTCTGAAGCAGAGAACTGATCTTCAGACCTCGCAAGGACGGGGGGCTGGGGGTACGTGACCCTTTCGTTGAGCTCAGCGGCCAGGCGGCCAGGAGAGTGGGGAAGTTGGTGTTGGTCAGAAGAGGGGTGCGCAGTTGGTTGGGGACAAAGGCGGCTGACCTTCCTGCGGGCTTCCGCTCCTTCTGGGCGCATCCGGAGTTCCTTAAAACGTGGAAGGGAAGAAGCGTCAGATGGAAGCAGACTTGCGAAATGTTTATGCAGTCAAGCATCGCGAAGAAAGGCCCGCTCTCGCGTTGGGACATCGCGCAGGAGCCACTGGTGTTTAATCGGCAAAACCTGCCGAACGGAAAGAAACCGCTTGGACGGCAGGAAGCGGCGAAAGGGCTGGAACTTTTGAAACTCGGTGATTTTGTCGGCCAAGCAGAGGACGGCAGCTTCTTCCTCAAAGATGAGAAGCTGCTAAGAAAGGAGCTGGGCACGCGCAAGAAAGCAAGGAGGGCGCTCAGGGCTTTTGTGAGCGTCCCGTCCGCTTGGAAAGCAAAATTGGTAGCGCCAATCACGGGAGAAGAGTTTCTAGCGGAGTCGGCCTTCGTGAAGAAGAAGGGCCTGGCGGGTGCCTGGAAGGCGGAGAAAGTGGTACAAGTGTGCCGAGCGTGTGACTGGTTTGGTGTGCCCTTGGTGGGGGTGGCGGAGACAACTGCGGTTCTCCCCCTGGACAAGGTGGAGCCGTTGATGGTGAGGGGTGGAAGGGTGATTGGAGCGGGTGGCCTTCCCGAGGTACGGCTGCGCTGCTCGGAGCTGTTGGGAAGAAATAGTCTTAAGCGCCTTTGTCGTGTCGAAACTCAAGACACAAGCGAAGCAGCTAAAATCGAAGCACCGCGAGTCAACCCTCGGAGGTTAACGTAACCGCTGGAGGTTACGAGAAAGTCAAAGGTCAGCGACCTTTGACCTGACGCAGCGCGACAGCAAGGACACACAACTGACTCGACATTGAGCAGTTGCCCGAGTCGCACTGTATCGAACCGCAACAGTAAAACAGTTACAATTATGTCTCTTCATATTCTCTGTACTCATATATATATTCCTGTATCTCTTTGCTTTAATCAACTTACTTTGCCCTCACATACTAGCGCAAGGTGGTTCAAAGGACTTTATTCAAACGCTTCCGCTACTACATCATTTATTCAGACTTTAACTCTACTAAAGATCCTAGGGCGTTCAGCCCAACATGGTATGAGAGCTGGTTAGAGTTAAGATTTTCTCTTCAACACTTAATACATCAAGAAGACATGTCTGCTAGAAAGGAGAGGAGCTCCTCCAACGGCTCTCCCGGTACTACCCCTACTCCACCTCCTGCCTCTGGCCTACTGAAAGAGGAAGGGACAACAACTAGACCAGCAGCTGGGTCTACGGAAACACCCGCAAACCAAGGCGCGGGCTTCGATCCAAGTATGATGGAGAAATTCTTCTCCTTCATGTCATTCTACGAGCAGCATCAGCAAGGAGTACCTGCGCAATCAAACAACAGCAACAACAACAACAACGTGACGCCCATGAGTCTCGATGGCTCATCCTACGCACGCGGGAATCAACATCAACAACCTACCTTCGCTCCGTACGAGCCCCAGCGCGGCTCCGTCAGCTTCATGCTGCAACCACAACCTGCACCGGGACAAGAAAGAGCACTGGACGCACTACAAGTTCAGTCGCAATTCGCGCATGTTCTAAAACTACAAACGACAAAACCTTTCGACGGGAAGGATTTCTTTACCTGGTCGTTCGAATTCGAGCTGATGATGGAAGGAGCGCAGATCCTTGGCTTCTTCGACGGGTCCCTGCCATATCCAACAAACGGCACGCAGTATGAGAAGCAGCAGTACACCTATCAATCGATGATGGCGTACACAATACTACTGAGGAACATCACCCCGACTCAACAGCAGAACATAAGGACTTACCGAGGTTACGATAACTCCGCGGAGCTCGCGTACAACCACTTGAAGAACCTGTATCAAGCAGCAGACAGCGTAAACCAAAGCCAGTTAATGGCGCAGCTGACAACAATCGAAATGAAGCCAGGCGAGAAGGGCATGGCATATATCAGTCGCTGCCACGAACTGCGCGACAAGCTTCTTCGATGTGGAGGATCGATTTCAGAAGACGCCTTTGTCACGGTTGTCATCGGTGGTCTTGGCCCTCACTGGCGCTCCACTCGCGCCATATTACGGGCACACGGGAGAATCTCGGAAGCAGCACTCTGCACCAAAATCCATGCTGAACAGCATGACATGGACCTGCAAGAAGAACGACATAAGAAGAAAACATCAGTACCAGAGTTCGCGTTTCACACCCAGCGACGCTACAACAACAACAATCGGCAGCAACAACAATTGAAGCCAGTACCTCCGTTTTGCCATATCTGCAAGACTTCAGGGCATCCTCATACGCACTGCCCGTATCGCCAGCAATCGACAACACCACAGCGACAACTTCGGCCTTCAAGCTCCCAAGTCACTTCAACGCAAGCAACTCCCACGACAAAGATTCAAACCTCAACGACTCCAACAGGACAACCTGCACAAGGAGCAAGTAACATCGTCAATTGCATGGCAAAGACAACAGATACCTGCATCACCGAATCACCGCCGCACTACTCACCAGAAGAACGACTTGACGAAACCACACCTCGCCGCGAGTCACTTCAGCCGAACCCGACATACGCCGCCATCGCTCAAAGCGAGCCATCCGGAAGAGACACTTGGTTCTTGGACAGTTGCTGCGGACAACACATGTGCTCCTCAGGACGTTTCGTTCAACGCGAGCACCGACTTCAACGAGAAGTCGTCATCACCGTCGCCAATAATCAGAACCTCCGAACAAGACGACAAGGCATAGTACAACTTCAGTCACGGGAGACGAACGTCGTACTACAAATGTCAAAAGTCCTAATAGCAGAGGGACTCAGCTACAACTTACTGAGCGTCAGTCAGCTGATGGCGAAAGGCATACACCTGGAAGCCGACAGCACCACCCAGGAGTTCAAACTGTACCACGGGAAGGGCGGCCTCTACATCGAAAAGGCGGTTCTGAAGAATAACGTCTTTGTCCTTGACTTCGTCCCAGACCTGGGCACCGCAGACAGCGACGCCATCGTGAACTTCGCCGACTGGACGCACCCTCCAGATCTTGATCCAGACTTCAGCCCGGAAGGCTTCTGGTACTCGCATACCATCCCTGAAGAAGAACGAACACGCGCGTTAGCAACAATTCAACATCCGGCAGCAGCAGAAACAACATCGGCAGTAGCAGAAACATCATCAGCAGCAGCAGAGACAACATCGGCAGCAGCAGAAGCAGCAGAGACAACATCGGCAGCACCAGAAACATCATCGGCAGTAGCAGAACCATCGTCAGCGACACCAGTTCTCGTTGACGAAGCACCACCAACACTCGCACAGCAGCTGAACCCAACTCAACGAGAAGTCCACAGAAGCGCAAACTTCGTCGCCAACTTCTACTCCAACTCCGATGCATATCGACGCTCACCCGGACACCGCGCCTCCGAATACATCTAGCACGCACGCATGGGACATCCAAGCAACACCGTGTTAAATAATACAATAAGAGCAGGAGTCCTAGACAAGGATTCATTACTACTACCCGACGGCAGAGAACTTCAACGGGCACGAGGAACTTGCCTCACCTGCCCCGAAGCCGACTTACCACATCGACCGTTTACTCCTCACCACAACCCGAGCGCACCCGCGTACGCACCACTCGAAAAGGTGTACAGCGATATTCTCTTCAATCGAGAACCAGGACAAGTTACTTACAACTACATGATAACCTTCATCAACGCCGCCACTCGCTACGTCTGGCACCTAAACCTACCCAGCCGCGACATGGCACTCGCAGCGTTTGCCGCCTGGCTACCAGTAGCAGAGAGAGAGTCGGGAGCACAGCTGAAAAGCTTCCAGTCAGACGGAGGAGGAGAATACACCTCTCAGCGCTTCAAGCAGTACCTGGCGGAAAGAGGAATCAAGCAGCTCCTCTCCCTTCCCTACGCCCATCAGCAGCAAGGTGTCGCAGAAAGAATGAACAGGACTCTGCAGAACAGCATGCGCAAACTGCTACGTGGCATGCGACTACCCAACCACCAGTGGCCTGCAGCAATGGACCACGCTGTCATGCTGCACAACTTGATGTCGTCGTCCTCACTTCCGAACAACGCATCACCGCATCTGCTGTGGACAGGGAAATAGGGCAGCACAAAAATGTTACGAGTTTTCGGGTGCATGGTACAGTACCGACCCCCAGAAGCACGAGCGGGAAGATTTTCATAACGCGCACAATGGGGACTACACCTCGGCATCGAAAAGAATTACAACGCGTGGAAAATCTTCGACGTCCACTCCAAGGAAACAGTAGCAGCACGTGACGTGATCTTCTACGAACGACTCACGCTTCAGACGTACCTCGCCAACTTGCACGAAAATCAGGACCCCACAGGTGGCTTTCGTGGTGACCGAGCCTTCGCCTCAGCAGCGGACGAAGCAGACTAGGACGAGCAGAACGTCGACAACGCATCAGAAGAAGCCGGACCTCTGCCGTTCTGCTCCGTCAACGTCCCCATGGACGAAGAAAATCCTCGCGAAAGCGCCAACGCCGAAGTCTTCTACCACTTCGCCGACAACGGTTACGTAACACCTGCGACAGTCAACACGAACAAAGCAGAACGGATAGGGCCGAATTTCATACCCGACCCAGAAGCGGGAGATGAAGCAGCTTATCCCGAGGACACAACTCTCCCCCGCTACTCACAGACTGGACTGCAGATTCTCGGCCTCGTCACCGCAGTCCATGGCAATGCTCTTCCTAAAGAGCCTGCGACAGTTCAGCAGGCTCTGGGGGGGGAACACAGGGAGAAATGGCGTAAAGCCATGGACAGGGAGTTAAAGGCGCTGGAGGAACGCAACACCTGGAAAGTCGTTCCCGTAAGCGTGGCA